ATGTTATTACTGTCACGTTTTTCTTTCCGGCTATATGTATCTGTTTTATTTTTTTTGTGAATTGGATAGTGAGCAATTTTCTCTTCTACAGTATTACACGGCACAGGTGAGGCACATTATGGACGCGCATCTCATTCTAGACAGATATGTACTAAGTAACGAAATAGTTACTAATACTATTATTACATCTTTCCAGCAATATAAGATAACAAGTAAAGTCCATTAAACCACAGAAAACAAAACAAGGGGGTAACAGCGGTATTAATGCAGACAAAAATACAGCATACACACTACTCACATATAATACTAATATTATCTTGAAGCTTTCAACCCGTCCTGATGTTTCTGGGTGAGCTGTGAATTTTTTAATAATAGATCCACTAATAATATCAACTACTTGTTTATTATCGTATTATGAAGGAGAGAAGAAAAAAAAAGAAAAAAAGCCACACACACAAAAGAAAATTCTTTCTTATTATCGGATGTTTGCTTAGATATTTTAGCCCAGAAGTTTTCGGTACTGAAAACTGTTAAACCCCTCCCAGAATAGAAGGGCATGGCCTTCTACTGTGTCCCAACGGATCAAACCTTTTAGGATGGCATTCGATTAGGGGTGCCTTTCTAATCCCACCTTCCAGCCAAAATTTTCTAAAATTTTTCGAAACTCGTAAAAAGCTTAGAATAATGATTTTTTTTCGTTTCATAATAGTTAACTAATTGGTGCTCTAGAGTACTGAACAATTGAGAACTCGGGTTTTAGACTGTCTTTAATCTCCGAAGCCTTGCAAACCGAAAAGAGTCATATGAAAGTTCGTCATACAGACAATTAAGCTGCTGTATATTCGTTGTTATTGAATTTTTTCTCTTCTCTGCGCTTCTGGCCACTGCGCTTCACCTCCTGTTAGAGCTCCGCAGGTTAAATCTAACCTAACCTATAGGTTACGATCTTTATAGGTTATGTTAGGTTTAGGTTGTGAGATTTTTTTATAGATTAGGTTGTAGGTTACGCCATTGATAATCTATTTTTAACCTAAACGAAAAAAACGATTTTGAACCACCATATTAAAACAGCCAATACTTTGAGTAATAAAGCGTAGTCCTAGTGGAATTTTATCGACTGAGGATTAAGGTCAGACTGAGGTTCTATAGCTACTATCTATTAGTTTTCTATATTCATGTAAAATGGGATTTATTTTGTATAAGTTCACCTATTAGACGGTAAGAAACAATAACGATATGGAACAAAACTGAAGTTTAGGTTTCTGAAACCAGGATTTGGGAAAAATTGCATAGGCTGTATTAGGTTAATCTAGGTTAGGTTACCGTATTAGGTACTGTATGTATTTCGAAATTTTTACTTGATTACCATTTTTAAATAAATGATCCATGAGTAGCGTTAGTGTAAATCAAGTTAAAAAAGTTTGGAAATATCGGCATCATAGAAACATTTGCGTTTTGAGGACCCAGTGACACTAAACTTTTGCCTATGTAAACCAGTAGTGGATCTTAAATTTTTTATGGAATATATGGTAAAAAGTTAGGGCTTTCTCATGGATTTCCAGAAACCCGCTTTGGGCCCTTTTTGCGATAGGTAGATTTTCAGCAAAGCAAAATGGAAAATAGCTTTCAAATAGTGCATTCAACTCGCCTTTGCATTATTTATCGAATGGTAAAACAAAAACTTTCATAACTTGTAAACTGCAATCGAAAAATTCGAGATACCGATGGGAATTTTTGAGTTTATGCCTATTTTACGCTTGTTTCTTTTTATAGTCTCGAATTCCCGAGGTCGCTTTCATATATTTTTCGTACCTGTTCGACATGGGCTTCCAGGTCACACAAGATACGGTTTGTCTCCACTCAATGCTTTCAATTTTGCACCTAGTGCAAAAGGTATTTCTTGCGCAGTCGCCCGCGTCAACGAAGCATTGTGGAACGTTTATGTCAATACAAAAGTTGTTCATTACACTTATCTCTACAGGATTACATAATTTCTTTTAGTGTAAAGTGCACAGATACAAAGTTTTACTAGGTTTTAATTAATAAACATTGTTTGAATTTTGCCCGTAATGCTCAATTTTCTCAATCAGAACTCAACTTTTAAGCAATAAAAAGAGCACATTCAGAATTAGGATCAAAAACGGAATCGATTTATGTGTATTTCGAAATTTTTAGTTGATTTTCAGTTTTGGGTGAAAATCTCAGTAATTTTTCAACGTGTAAATTCGACAAAAATTAAAGTAGTCAGATAGAATAGAAATACACATCAGGATAACAAAAGTTCCTTTGAAAATCAGAATCGCTTGCTCAGCCTTATTGATTTGCCCATCTTAGGTTAATATCTGATCTTTAACGTTCATTGATTCAAAACAATTATAGATTTCAAATCTCCAGCGATGTTTCTATTTTCATCAGAGTTTTTGCACTAAAGAATGAGTAGACTGTGAGAACATCTCAGAATCTTTAGCACACTTTTCTCTTTAATCTGAGACGTTCTAGAGCTCTGGGCATCTGGTCTCACAGTTCGAAAATATAAGAGAAACAAAATGTAAAAAATCGTTACGGAATTTCACTTCGGTAGCAGAGTTAACTGGTCAAACCGCTAGATCCTATTTATAGGAGATTTAGAAACAGACTTTACAAAATTTGAAGGTTTTTCGAAAGGGTTTCTGGAAAATCATTAACAAAAATATGCTCGGTTTTATCGATCTTCTCATCACGTTTAGGGGACAAAATTAACCATATCCTGATATTTTTTGAGTGAATAATAAACTTTTTAATATTATACGAAAACAGCCTGGAAACCCTAATTTTTGTAAAACTTGCTTTTTGCTAGATTCTTAAAACTTTTGCTAAAAGTAAATATTCCCTACAAAAAATATCTTTGTCGACACCGGTTGTGTACGAGTGCGCACTCATACCGAACAAATTTTCTTCTGAGTATCGATACGCACGAGTGTGAGACTTTTAGATTCTTCTGGCACCAGTGCGCACCGATGTCATAAAAAAACATTTCGTTTCGCACCGATGCACATCGAAGCCAAGTTTCTTTTTCAATCACCATTTTGTTTTGTTATTGTTCGTGTATATAAACACCATAGTATACTTGGAATATTACTATATATATTTCGAATATCTTTTCGGCCCACATCCTTTACTTCTCATAAGAGAAGTGCCGAGGCAATACCGTATGATTATGCCATTCCATGAGCATCGATGCATATCGCTGATGCCGATCCTTTTTCTTGCAACGTCGCATCGAACTTTCTTTTATGGAGTGATATTGAAAAAAAAATGCAGCATGCCCGTGCTGCATTGAATTTTAGCAATGTGGTATCGTTTCTGAAGCGAAAAATCAGCATTGTATGGCATCAATACACACTGATGCCAATTTGGCATTGTTTGGCATCGCCCGGGCACCGGTGCGCATCGATCTTTGATCTTTGGCGATGCCGGTGACACATGGCATGGCATGCGTACCGGTGCGCATCACCGATACCAATCATATTTTTTGTGATGCTCGCATCGAATTTTTTTTTTGTAGGGTTGCCACGAGGCTTAGCATGATCGATTACCTATAATCCATCAGCTTTCAAGCCTACCAATAGTCACCGGATGCCAGTCCTGGGACTCGTGGGGAATCTGATACAACGCCTAAACCGCGGTAATCAAGGTATCTCAGAGAACAAATATATGACTAATGTGATACAGTTGGACTGTAAAATTATTTTTTTTTCTTAGACTTTAGCAAAATTGTTTCATTCTAACCGGCATTCTCTCCACTTCTGATTCTTTGTTTTATGCACTTCTTAAAACTACCCGATTTTGTTCGATTTTTCTGCTCATTCGACTTATTTAAAATTTCAGAATAGAGAGTAGAAGAAATATATCAAATACGATAAACGTGTACTATTTCGATTTTTTATGGGCTTTGTCTAAAAAGTGCATAAAAGAACTCATTTTCGAAGTCGAACATTTTCATTTAAACACCGCTGGTAAACCACGGTATAATCTGAAACTGCTCGGTATTGGCAGTAATCGGGCTGTATTCTTCACGCTCTTCATATATACATACGGAGAATATCGCTAAGTACACGTTTCAAAATAATTCACCCTTTTGTTTTGATGATTAGAGGAGTATATAACAACAAATGAATAACAGAAATCTTACTCTTCGATCATGTTACGGGCTTTCTTAACAATAGCGCGAATCGACTATTAAAAAAATAGAATTATGTCTCAGTGTCTCAGTGTGGTTGAAAAATTTGTAATTGCTTGGCATATTTCATGAAAATTTTTCAGAAACCGGTTTTAGAGTCTAAGAAAGACCAGTATAGCTATGCAAACCAGGTGAAAATCCAAATTTAAATAGTGCATTAGTTTATCTTCTGTCAATATAACTCAGATGTGTATATAAATCTTTAATTCGAATAGCTAGGGCAGTAAAACTCATCTATGAAATGGGAGAATCTGTATGAATTCATTCACTTTTGCACTAGTTGTTTATTTACCTAACATATTTATTTTATCATTTTATTACATCTCCAATTGGTTGATTGAAATAGTCATCAACGTATACAAACATTCGCACAAGCGAAAAAGAGAAAAAATATATTTTACATATTCGTTGATGATA